AAGAGGAAGCTTGTTATTCTTTTTACACCCCCCCTTAAATGTATTTATTTATAGCTGCATTGGGTCTTCGTTGCTGCACACCAGCTTTCTCTAGTTGCAGCAAGCGAGGGCTACTCTTCGTTGAGGAGCATGGGCTCTAGGCACCCGGGCTTCAGTAGTTGCAGCACATGGGCTCAGTAGTTGTGGCTCGCGGGCTCTAGAGCGCAGGCTCAGTAGTGTGGCGCACGGGCTTAGTTGCTCTGCGGCATGTGTGATCTTCCTGGACTGGGGAGTGAACCCATGTCCCCTGCATTGGCAGGTGGATTCTTAACCACTGCGCAGCTTGTTATTCTTGAAATTCGAAGCTCACGTTTGAATAACAAGCACGACAGAAAAAATCTGAGTTGTTTTTTTTTTTACTAATGTCTCAGAAAAATACTTACATTCACAAAGAATTCTGCAAAGATTTCTGCAGAACAAGCTCTGCCTTTACATTTTTTACCAATGAAGAGTCCTAGAGACAGTAATAAAACATTTGATAAATATGTGCTCTTGTATTTCTTGGCAGTCGTGCGAGTTAGAATGAATCTGTTGCAGCCTTGAGTTATTATTATTATTGCCACTTTTTGTTGCTGCATTAATCACCACACATACTGTGAGAGATTGATGAAGTTAATTGTTTTTATAAACTAGATTAAATGAACTGCTAATGTGGGGTGACTGGGTTTGGACGTGTGTACTTACGTCAACAGAGAAGTGGACAGGCTCCCCGCGAGCTTCCCGAGACGTGATTATTTCGAACGTCACATCGACGTTCATCCTCCATTCCTTTTGTAGTGAGTTGTACACTCTTTTTACTGTTAGTCAGTTTATAGAACACACCTGGGATTTATAGTTTTAAGGTTTTTGTGTCTACCAGGTTGAAATGATTCAGAGATTATTTTTAAATGGGCATCTGTATTAGTTTGCTAAGGCTGCTATAACAAAATACCACAGACTGGGTGGTTTCAACAACAGAAATTTATTTTCTCACAGTTCTGGAGGCCAGAAGTCTAAGATCAAGGTGCCGGCAGGTGTAGTTTCTCCTGAGGCCTCTCTCCTTGGCTTGCAGACAGCCGCCTTCTCACTGCGTCCTCACGTGGCCTTTCCTCTGAACACGTGCCTCCCTGGTGTCTCTTCCTCTTCTGATAAGAGTATCAGTCCTATCAGATTAGGGCCCCACCATAACAGCCTAATTTTAACTTACTTGCCTCTTTAGAGGCCCTGTCTGCAAATCTAGTCAGGTCTGAAGTTCTGGAGATTAGGGCTTCAACCTGTGAATTTAGGGAGATCACAGTTCAGCTCATAACAGCACCTTTAATAAGTTTCTCATGGGCATGGGATAGGGGTGGGATAAATGGGAGAGGAAAATGAATTTTTAAAAAATTTAGTGGGACAGTTCTTCTAACCTCCTCTTTTGGCCCAAAACATTCATAATCTTATATTTCAAGAGAGTGAGTAGATAATTATCTTAAATATATTACAGAATTTTATTTTCAGTCTCCATTTCTTAAGGTTTGGCAGGCTACCTAACCTGGGAAATCTTGATAAGCCACCTGCAAATGGTATTTTTGTTTTCTTATTTATTTATTTTTTAAATTTGAACCCAAAGTGAGGGAAATCTGTAGGAATCACACCCAGAAAAGTAGCTAAATTCAGAATAGTTAGACTGAACCTTGGGCCCACGTGAGGCAGGAAGTGACCTGGTGTCTCTGCCTCTTTTTATAAGAGCACCAGTCATACTGGATTAGGGCCCCATCCCTATGGCCTCATTTAACCCAAGACCCCAGCTGAAAGCTGGTGCTCAGAGGCCAAACTCATGGAGAAAGGGTGCAGGAAAAAAACTGTGTCCAGCAACACAGTGGGGTGGTGGGGAAGCTGGTGTGTTTCAGCCTGGCCTCTGGATGGCAAACAAAGGCTCCTGGAGAATTTGAAACTGCAGGCCTGCCTTTACATGGGCAATAAGTTCAAATTTACACTGTTTGGCCATTCCTGTTCTCAGTTAATGTAAAAAGGATTTCCAGGTTTGACAGAAGCGTGTACAGCAACTCTCCAAAGGGATGCTGCCTGCACCCCACACCCCAGAGGATCCCCACAGGTAAAGGCTTACTGAAGACAAGCCCATGGCCCACACTCACCCCAAACAAGAGCCAGAATCAGAGAAAAACGAACAGTGAATGAGACTCCCGAGGACCTCAGATAATAAAATAATTAGATATACAACCATAAGACAAGTATGTCTAAAATGATTAAATACATAAAAGAATTAAAAACACGAGATATGAGTAATGCACTATCAAATAAAGACCAGACAGATTTGAGGGGGGAAATCTCTAGAAATGAAAAATAAAAACGATTGGAATAAAAAGTGGTCAGGATAAAAGCAGATTTTTGAGAGAATTACTGGACAGGGTTATATTTCCTTCTTAACAAAGTAAATGTCCCCTCCCCACTGAAAAGAAGTGATGGTGGCAGCAGGGAGATTCTCGTTCCAAAACCAGACCAGCAGACGCATCATTAAACACGGTCCTTTATTTCACATGCCCTCTGCTTTGCCTTCCTCTGACGGACTGCAGCTGGGTACCGCTGGCCGTGCAACAGGCATTGTTAGCTTCCTGAATCCTCCCAGGGAAATTGAAAACTAATAAACCCGAAGTGTATAAGCCTCAGGGTGTTTCACATTCTCCTTCCTGTTCACAGCATCATAAAGAAACCAGTCCTGGGCTTTCATAATTCAGCAGGGTCCAACGTAATTTGAAACACCGGAGTATGTGGCCTGGCAAGCTGGTTGTACTGTGTGGTCAGAGCAGGGCTGGGGCAGAGCACGGAGTGGCTATCCTGAGGGAGGGTGAACACCCTGAGCCCCACACCGGAACGTGGGGCCAGTGAGCTCAGTTAATACACTCTACTTTCTATCAAGTGCCAGGAAGCTACTGAGCACCTCTGTCTTCGTCCTTTTGGGCTGCTATAACTGAATACCACAGACTGGGTGGCTTGTAAACAACAGACATTCTCACTGTTCTGAAGGCCAGAAGTCCAAGGTCAGGGCACCAGCAGATTCGGTGTCTGGTGATGTCCTGCTTCTTAGTTCACAGACGACTGTATGCTCTGTCCTCACCTGGCAGAGAGGGTGAGGGAGCTCTCTGGGGTCTCTTTGTAAGGGCAGTAATCCCATTCATGAGGGCTCGACCCTCATGACCTAAGCACCTTCCAAAGTCCCCACCTCCAAACAGCATTACTTTGGGAGTTAGGATTCAACAGCCTCTCTTCTCATCTAAACTTCTCCATCTTAGGACACGGCTCTTATCCCCTTTCTGGAGATGAAGCATTGAGGCTTTGAGTGGCTGACTAATCTAAGACCACATAGCTAAGGACATGGAGGGACTTGCTGACCCTAAAACACGCACAGGTGACTGCCATGTGGGGCTGGCTTTTTGGATATAAGGCCAGCATTTCCAGACTTTATCCCATGGAACACTAGAGTCCTGAAGAATGATAACCAGCATTACCTGGGGGAGGAGTTCTGTGGTGAAATACACTTGGGAAAGATGGCACATTATATGCCCCATATAAAGCTTACAATGCACACTAAAGGCAGAAAATCTGTCTTGAGGAAACACATTTAATTTGTTCAGCCCCGCATTTCCCACACTTAACAGATCCTAGAATCCCCACTTCTGTTGTCATGTTTTTCTCTTGCAAAACATCATTAACATATTAGCCATTAAGGGAATACAAATCAAACTACAATAAGACACCACTTCACACCCACTAGAATAACTATAAAAAGATAGACAATAACAAGAGTTGGCGAGCATGTGGAGAAATTGGAACCCCTACTGGCTGGAATGTAAACAGTTCCATGGCTGTGGAAAGCGTTTGGGGATCCTTCAAAAGGGTAAATATGGGGTTACCATGTGACCCAGCTGCTCCATTCCTACATATGTACCAAGGAAATGAAGGTACATGTCCATGTGTCCACACAAAAACTTGTACATACACGGTTGTTTATGTGTGCATTATTCACAGTAGCCAAAAAGTGGAAACAATGCAAATGACCACCACAGATGCATGGATGACAACATGTGGTCCACCATGCATGCTGTGGAGTATGATTTAGCCATGAAAACGAGTGAGGTACTGACACGGGCTGCGACATGGATGGACCTTGGAAACGTTACGCTGAGTGAAAAAGCCTGTCACCAAAGACTATGTATTTTATGATTCTGTTTATGGCAAATGTCCAGAAGAGGCAGATGCAGGTGACTGGTTGCTAGGAGCTGGGGGAGAGGAGGGATTCGAGAGTGACCGGTGATGGGTTTCTCTTTAGGGTGATGAACATGTTTGGAAAGGATCGTGTGCAACTCTGAATACACTCCAAACCAGAGAGCTGTACACTCTAAATGGGTGGATTATATTGTATGTGAATTATATGTCACTAAGGCTGTTTTTAAAAACCAAATAAACTTCTGCCAACTCTAGGGTTTCACAGCACAGTTTGGGAAAGGTTGCCACCGGAGTGGACTCTGGCTGTGTGCACAGCAGCTGTCCTGTGTCACCTGTGGCTGTATCGCCCCTTTGAAAGCACCATCGGCATTTGAGAAAATACTACAGGCAGGGATTAAGTGGGGTTTTTTCCTGCATCGAGAAGCTGAGTGTAACCAAAAGCAAGCAGCCACTGTGTCCACACGGTTTATACTCTGATTGCACTACTGCTCTTACCAAGTACTTGGAAGGAGACCAGACAAACAAAGGAGGCTTGGAAACTTTCTAGGTGGATCTGAAGGAAGAGACAGCGTTGAGTGTCACATCATATTGAATCTCCCTCTGACAGCCTTAACCTCTGTGGTTAATCACTGTCGCCGCTGGCTGATCTGGACCAACCTGGGGCCATGGGACAAACACACACTCCCGAGCTAGTTCCCTTGCCATCCGGTGGTTCCATGTCCACACTGATCCTACCCTCTTTGTCTTCACTGCAGTGAAAGCCGGTGGGATGAGAATTGTGCAGAAACACCCGCATTCTGGAGACACCAGAGAAGAGAAGGACAAAGACGACGAGGAGTGGGAAAGCCCCAGGTAGGAGAGTTCTGGCGAACTTTGAGATGTCTCACAAATCACCGTTACTCAGTTAAACATTAACGTTTGTTCTCTGCTCCGTGCTTCTGATAACCCCTGGGCTTCGTGGGCCCTGTGCTGCGTGCTTTTCCTCTTCTGAGCAGTGAGGCAGGGCTTGTGTTCCCAGATGGGAGAAACAGGGCATCGAGAGCACGCCCTCTGCCTGCATAAATCCAAGCGGGTGCATCTGTCTGTGGGCGGAAGCCCTGAACCTCCACTACCATACTGAAATCGCCCACAGACCTTTGAAAATGCCATACTAGTTGAATCTCTGGGCTGGGCCTGGCATTCTGTGCAGTGAGGGCAGAGAACTACTGATTTAAATAATGTTTACAAATGTTAGGGCTTTGCCAGTTTCAGCCAAGCAGAATCACTGAGGCCACACCCTTATGAGTGACCAAGTGCCCTTAAATGACATCTCTGCCCCCAGCTTCCCAGGTCCCCGACAGCTCATCTTCCTACAACACCACCATCTCTTGTTTACATCTGTCTTCCTTGGTGACTCTGATGTCAAGTTTGGTCCAACGACCTTGATACAAGTCCATTTCCTTCCACCTTGTAACATACAAACATGCACCACCAATGCCCACCTGTCTGTGAGCTTGTCCATGTAAAGGGAAGTGGACACTAAGCTTTCTGCCTTATAACTCGCCCCCAGACAAGTCTCAGTCAGAGGAAAAGGAAGAGTGGAGGACAGCCTACCTGTTTCTTTGCTTCATTCCAACAGTCCTGAATAGCAGGTGGAACGCTCCCTGGGTTACCCACGGGAGACTGAAGTCCGCAGAGGCCATACGCTTGCCATGCCGAGCAGCGACTAAACCCAAGGCTGGGGTCCAGAGCAGGGCAGGCTTCCATAAGAGTAGCTGCTGACAGCACGCACCCCCTAAGAAGGACGTGCACGTGCTTGGTGATCCCGCATGTCTGCTTACATATGTGCTGCCCCGTTGGGTATTTTCTGTAAAACCTCATGTGATATGACTTACAGGGCAGTCACTGGAGGGGAGGACAAAATTTGAGGTGAAGTTTCTGAGTGATTATTGCCCATTTTAAATCATGAGATCAGCAACAGGAAGGTTCTGCCTAAGTTCTGGTTTTATAAAAGAAGAAGGTGGTTTAAAGAAAATTCTAGAATTTTCTTTCCACTGGCTATCTTCACAAAGCTGTGTTTGGCACATAACAACATCAGGAATTCTCCTACAGGTCCACGGTCCTGTATCTGAAAACCTTGGAGCCTAATTTATTTCAGAATTGAGAAATTCTGATGTTTTAGGAGATGAAGCAGGTTTTAGGAGTATAGGACTATACACATTTCATACAGCACCTGTAGTGCGGTCTCGGGCAGCCTAATCTGTGTATGATGTTCGCACCAGCAGAGATGCATTTTAAAAATTTACAGACTTGGATCAGTCCAGGTTAAGTTTCGCCTGCATAAGAGTTGTAACAAAACTTTAGTTCAGTGTGTGAGAATATTCTTGGATTTGGAACCGAAGATAAGAGCATGTGGCCTGTAGTCATTTCTTCCTCTAGGAAACCCAGGATGTCACTTCCCTTCATACCCACTGGTTCCCTAAGAAGGAAGAGAGGATGAGACAGAGAACCATGCCTGGAAAAAAATCCTGGAAAGTTAATGAAATGTGCTTTTCTGCATGAGTTTAAGTGGAATAAGGGACAAATAGCTATTTCTCTGCATAACACAGTGTCAGTACAGTAACAGATGATAATTTATTAGCGTGTTTAGAAATAAGGACAGAACAGCCCATTAGTTTTCTTTCTATTGATTTTTTTCTCATGAGGTGAAATACAGCCTTTATGGAAGATGTACAATTTAAATATATGTGCTAGAGGATGAACGATTGCATACGAAAAGAGAGAGCACCCAGCTCTCTAGATTTTATCATCTTATCCACTTTGAAGGTTGGTTGGAATCAAGTGTTTGGAAGCAGGCAGACTGCAGGGCAGGGTTTGCATATGAGCAAGGATATGTTTGTTCTCTGCAGTCAAATTGTTGTACTGTGTTCCTCATGGGTGTTAGCTCTTGTCCTCTGGACTTTGGCTTCTCTCTTTACTGCTGTGAGTTAAACCACCGGACACACCATTGCCAGAAGGGGTAAGCCCCTGCAGACTCAGTTGCCAATACAATTTCTTCCAAACCCCTACACCAGACCTGGTACTCTGTATAATAGGTCATTTCCATCACCATGCACTCCCCGTTTTTCTGGTGGGCTAATTGACTAGTCATGGTTAATAATGGTCATTGATAATGTTACAGAATGCAGAGAACCTGGCCCTGTTCTAAGTGCTCTGCCCATGTTTATTCATTTGAACTACTTGCAACTGCTCTATTCTCATCCCCCTTTGAGAGCTGGTTCTTGATTATTATCCTCATTCCAGATTACTACTCCCCCTTCAATGGCTCAGAGCGGTTAAGTGACTTTTCCAAGGGCACATAGCGAGTGAGTGGCAGAGCCAGTATTCCAGAGTGGCAGCTGGGTCCGTAGTCCCCTACTCTTAGCCCCTGGGGTGTGTGTACCAACTGAGCGCCCGTTTTGTGCTGGGCACTTACTAAGTGCTTCCCATTGGGTTTAATGCGCACAGCACCCAAAAGTTGGTATTACTATGCCCATTACACAGATGAAGAAACCACGGCCCCATGAGGTTATCTGACCCAATGATATGTAGCCAGTCAATGGTCTGGCCAGGATTCAGTCCTGACCCTGTCTTGACTTGGAAGCCTATGTCCTTAATAGGCTACAGAAGCCCCCTGAACTGACAAAATAATTTTAGGATCAACAGACCGTAAATCCAAACCCCTCCATAAAATAAACTTATTGATTCTGGGGTTGCCCATAACCTATTCCATATTCCTCAAGCCCATAATCCCACCCATGCAGCCCTACCATCAGTAGATGGCCTAATTCCAGTTTACAACAGGGTTTCAGGGCACTGGGCTGGTTTTACTTTACATGTGGAAAGACCTCTTTATTTCCAGAATTTGTCAGACATTTAATGTTTTACATTAATTTCCCTTGGAAATGTCATGGCATGTGACTTCAACATTCATATTACCCTAATCCTAAAGTTCTGTATTTTTTCATGTTTTGATCCAAATGTTCTCCAGATATGAAAATAAGTGCACAGTCTCAGATGCCCATTTCCTCCTTAGATCTGCATTTGCAAAACTCTCTGCTTTCCTTCCCAGATATTTAAAACTGGCTTTGTATTTACTGACTCATCTCTGGCGGCTTCCTTCCACAATCAGTAAATCAAGTACTGATTACAGAGAAAATGAACAACTGGTGCGTTACAGAGGTTATTATGTGACCCAAAAAACCCCCCGAACACTTTTACTTGTAAAACCTTCTTTTGCAGGTCTTTATGTTACTCTTACTCCCCATAATCTTGTAATTTTTCAGATATAATAATAAAATAATTTCTTCTGCCACCAAATTGTTTTGAAATGCTCCATTTAAAAAAAGAAAAAAATAATAATGTAGCACAAATTTGAAAATGTTTCCAAAGAATTCCATCAAGCTGAGTTCTAGTTACCTGTGGCTCTTCATATCCAGACAGAGTAAGAGACTTCATTGTTATGAGCTAATACTTTCCTGAGTGGCTGCTAGATTCCATCTCAGAACTGACCCAATCTAGGAAAGCTCTGATCTTCCTCAAAGCCTTCTGTTGAGCATATTAAGATGAAGTGCCCAGTTTCATTATGTAAAAGAGAATTTGCAGCATAGAATGGACTTCAATAGTCAGTAGGATTCACTAAAAAACAGTGTAGTGGTGAACATGTACTGAGTGAGGTCCTACCATGAATCGAGCTTGGTAAAAAAAAAAAATTTTAAAAGGTAGGTGACAGGAAGAGTAAAGTAGAAATGGAAGGGTTTGTGTGTGGACTGGGGGTGGGTAGGAAAGGGGTGGAAGGAAGAGGGAAGTGGGGATGGGGCAATAAGGGTAGGAAGGGAGCAGCCCTTCTCTGAGCTCGGCAATTTGTTTTGTGTTCACATACCCCCAAAATAAGCAAACAATTCCAATCATCCAGAATGTGGGAGAGATCCAAGATGGAATACACGCAGTAAGAGATGGACCTAATTGTAATACAAAGGCTACTATTACCAACTGAAAGGCGTGGGTGGGAGAGCGACCTAACCTAAGTACAATAATAGTATGTTGGGAAACAGTATTTTGACTGGATACTATAAGGCTAAAGACAAAACCTGCAAAAAGCTGTGCATAAATCCTACAGTCCAGTTAGTAAATACGTCTTCAGGGGTTTGGGTTAGCAATTCTGAAATTGCTTTATGTGTATATTACAGTTGAACAAATAAGTAAATATCTTGTGGCTAATGAAGAGTCAAATTTCTCACTGTTAGAGAAAGAAGCTTACAAATAGGAAAGGGGGAAGACTAAAATGGCTTTGTGGTGTTTAATTGGAATTGGAGGTATTATGAACTCATAGTTTTAAATGGATGGATGGTTGGATGGATAATAGGTACATACAGACATGTACATACATATGCAGATAAATATACATGGGGGAGGATTTGTGTACACACCTGTACTTCCCAGCTGTGTTCACTGACAGGGCATAAAAGAACTGGCACCATGCAGCCATGAGCATCCCTAGTGCCAGGATCTTGGTGTCTAAACACCATTCCCCAATCAAGTGAACTAGGGTGTTTTGGAGAAATAGTGAATTCCAGGACCAGGGCTGGAAAAATGCCAGATGAGCCCGTAACAACTTGTAGTGCCAGAACATAAGAATTCCAAAAAGGATGGGACGTGTCAAAACAACACAGAAGCCAACCTGAAGACACACCTAATGGCAAAGACGGAACAGTTTGTGATAAAATAAATAATGTTAGTATTGGAATATAACCCATAGAGTAAAATAGATATCCATGAGTCCATACTGATATAAATAAGTTGAATACATAAATGAGAAGGGACAGCTCTTCTTT